TCAATTCCCTTGCTGAAATCCAAAGCGATAATTTTGTTTTGATTAAGCATATTGTGAAAGAGAAGCAAAAAATTCACAATGGCAAAGTTTTCGAGAAGATTATTAAAAATTCCCCCAATAGCAATGTTATTATTATTATTTTTTTTTATGTTTTTGGATAGTTTTGATAGGTTAAAAATATTCAATTGATAATGAAAACATATAGTTTTTGATCCCTCTTTGACATTTCCAATCAAAATTTTCCAAATTTATAAAACCATTTGTTCCAAATTTATGCAAAATAAAAATTTTCTTTTTCTAGTTTTTATTAACATACAAAAAATTATAATTTAACAGTAAATCAAAATTCAAAAAATATATAAAGAAAATTGTCATCGGACAAGTTACGACTAGAGGTTGCTTTCACTCCTTCAAGAAATTTTGACCTTTCGTTGTTTGTTTATGAAGATGACAAGTGATAATGTCACGACCCAAACCACACTAGAATTTAGGTAAACTTAAGACTTTCGAGATTCATAATAAGCTTAACTTATATAATTCTGATTTTTCTAATAAACTTTAAAGACAATAAGTCCATATTATTTTATTTAAATTTCAGTTATGGTCTAATTTCAACATATCAAAATTAAATTAAATTATAACTCGGGCCTAAATAATCAAATCACAACATTCATAATATGAGCTAACTGGTTCATACATATATATAACAGATAACAAAAATTTCATGATAGCAAATCACAAATATCATAATATATGAAAGCCTAACCTGGTTTTCAACTACCACCTGAGATATTTAACAGATAATCATAAACTCGTATTGGATGTAGTATAAGAACAACATACTTCAAATACATTTAAGGAAGCGAACTCTAATATATATTAAACCCTAATCCTACATGTATGTGTTGCATTGTTATAATTGGTTACCTTAATACCTTTCTACAAATTTATTTTATAATAAATATTCTTTTTTATCTTAACTTCTTTGGAATATAGCCACACAAAAATAACATAGACAATTATAATGACTATAAAATTAGATAGAAGTCTACTTTATCTCTGGCAAAGAGAATAAAAAGAGAAAAATAAAAAACGACTCGCTAAATTTACAATTCATAGTTCCTGCCGTAATTACATTAATATTCTATATATATATCTAGACCTACATCTTATGCACAATCAACACAAATTAGACTTATCCCAAGAATTATGTAAACATAATAGAAAGCAAAATAACATCCTATATAATAACACCATGAATACTATTCAATCTATTCTAATACTCTATCTACAACAATAATTTCTTATGGTAAGTTCCATGTATGAAGCCCTTCTCAAAGTATTGACTACCTAGTTAAAGTAAATACGTTCTCCTAGCATGGCATAATGAACAACTAGAAGGCTAGTGCAGCAAGCCATTGGAGTTAAGCATAATCCACAAGGACTTTTATACAAGGACGGGAGATGTGCGACCAAATACGTGATACAAACCAATTTTAGAAAAGTAGGACATCACACGTTTTAGGACCACACCTCCATAATAAATATAATACCAGTAATATTTTAAAATAATTAATTATATTATAATAAATCCATAAAACTAACACCCGACCTTACGATTTATGGTGTCAACACTAACACGACCAAATAATTTAAATAATTAAAATGTGAGGCTTAAAATTTTCTATAACTTTAATTATAACTGTAGCACCATTGTGACGATTTAAACAATCTTAGACAGATGATTACGATAGCTATATTGACACGTTTTAACTCCCTATCTAAATAATCATTAAATAGCTTAAGTGAGTACGTGTTGGACCTGTATACGAATCCACTAATAATCAATGCTAAATATAATAATTTTAAGAATTGATACTCTAAAATTAACTCCAAAACATTCATATTTAAATATTATTAGAAATTTTTCGTACATGCACCACAATGAGCAGTAAGTAGAGTTTCTTATATCTCAACATTCATGAGAGTGCTAAAGAGTACAAACCCCAGTAATACAATTTGGACTAATAATGAGACTCCTATACCCTCTTTTAATACAAACAAATTTCTCTTTAAATAATTTATAATAAAAAATAAAATATTAAAATAAATATCCAAATATTTTTTTTCGAAGGGTGATAAATTAGAAAGTGGAAACTGGAAGTCTAAAATATTTAGATTCTACCAATGATAATAAGTCTTTTAGTAGCAACATGTTTCTCTTATAACTCATATTCTTGTCCTCTTATAATCTTTTTATTAATTCAGTATGTCAAAAAATTAAAAAATTAAAATTTTCGCTTATTAAAAGAATATAATTTATATAAGTACATAGTTAGGTTATTTTTTCAGTCAATGCCATTAAATTTTCATTAGAAATGAACAACTTTTTACCAAAATTAAAGTTATAGAGTTTAAAATTGATAAATAAAAATTTAAGGGCACAATGAGTAAAACCCTAAGAATTCAGGGACTAATTTATGCATTTTACCAAAAAAATTGAATATTTAAATTTTTTAAAAATTTTAAGGGAGCCATTGCCTTATTGGCCCACTCTTGGGTCCATCCTGCATCAAAAAATGTATAAACACTATTAATATATTTTTTAATAGTGATATCAAATTTTGAGAATTTAACTAATTGTATTAAAATAAGAAATTAAGTATTTTTTATTTTATATTTATGATTTATTATATTATAAATAATTAATTAATTATTTTAAAATATTAATGTATTATATTTATTTTAATTAATTATTTAAAATATTAATGTATTATATTTATTTAGTGTAGTGTGTCCTAAACGTGTGGATGTCCTACTTTTCTAAAAATTGTTTGTATCACGTATGTTTCCATCTCTTATGTCCTGTGTTCGTGCAACCTAGCTCTTGATATATGAGACTACTAGTATAAAGTAAGTTAACTAACCAAGGTTTTTTTTTTTTATTACTAAGAAAAAATGAAGTATTTTTTTTAATTTATTTTTGTTTCTTTTTTTATTAATGAATGATCAGAAAGAATAAGAAGGAACTAAATTTCTTTCTAGAAAAAACTTTTATTATTTATTTTTTTTGGATATAAAAGAAAAATAAAATTAATAGAAGAAAGACAACACAGAGAGTAAAAAGTTCTAATGATCAATTTTCATCAAACCGTAACTCTAAACGGGTGGAAGAGTTTATTGGATTAAAAAACTCATGAACATGGAACCAAAAAAAAAACATTTGGCCTGGCCGATTTGTTGAATACTGACATTTTTCAGAATTAAATTTAAGAAAAAAAATAAGAAGGAACTAAATTTTTTTTGGGAAAAAACATATGTTACCTATTTTTTTGAATATAAAAGAAAATTAAAATTAATTTTTCTCTATAAATTTATTTTTATAGGTTTTTTATTTTTTATAATTTGAAGAGAAAACTATGAGAATTTTTTTTTCCCTTATATTCTTTTTTTATTTTCAAATAAAATAGTTTTGCTTATTAATATTAATTTAGTTTTTTTCCTCTTATACGATGTTATCTAAAAATATAAAATATCTTATCTTCTTACAATTATTGTCCATTACAAGTTATATTCTTATATTTATGCCAAATAATTGTTCTCCTTATACATGACAATTTAAAAGACTTAGACTTGGTTGTCATTTAAGATAGATTTCTCTGTTTTTATATATTATATAGATAAGAGGGGACTAAATTTTTTTTGAAACAAATTTTTTTTGAACCGAGCATGAGCCATCTTCAGGCTTATTTTAGTTTAATCTTAAAATATTATCTTGTAGCCTTTGATTTTCATCTGCTCAATACCAAGTTGATTTGATTTTATTATGGTTCTGCATTTGGGAAATTTTTATTTTATTTTAGTATGAAGTTGCTATTGAAGGTAAGACCGGTAAAGAATATAAACTAGCAAATAAAAATAAAAGACAATTATTACATATTTAAACATATACAGAGACAAATAAAAAATATAAACTAGTAAATAGTTACCAAATATAATGGGCGAAAGATCTCAAAATTCATGCCAAAAGACAAAATTTGATGAAGTAAAATTAAATATAAATTTGACTTCAATTTTTATTTATTTCCCCTGTAAAATAGGCCCCCTCTAATTTATTTCTTTGCTTAATGGATAATTTGATGATGAAGTCTATATCTAATTCTGATAATTTGATCAAAATGAGCATATATAAAATATCAATTATCATACCAATTTCAAAGTTTTAAAGCACACCAATTGCTTGAATAATGCAAACAGCACTAAATACTTGTATAAGATACAGGAATTGCATAAGAGAATTTTTAATACTAATCAAAAAAATTTGTATTCGTTGACTATTTATTTTCCAAAAAAGAAATTAGTTGAAATCTGGTAGGGGCAATTTTGGGTTTTGAAGAAGTAATCACATTTTGGGTCTGGTTTCATGGTGGGTGGCCGGATCCAATTGTCGTCATTGAAGAAACGAACTCGAAAAAATTAGGTATTAGACTAAACGAGAGCAAAAACTATTTCACGAGGAGCAAAAACGTATTTCCTTTCCAAAAACATGTTTTACGCAGAGGGAAGATTAAAACTGCTTCTCTCTCGCTTTTGTGCAAGAGGCAGATATCGCTGGATGTCTACCAGCAGCCGGGAGATGCCTTACTATTTTCGGGTTCATCGGCCCAAATGGGTATTTTGATTTCCGTTTCTTATAGGAGTTTTAAAGCAGTACAATTTGAGAGGTAAAAGCAAATCTGATTCAGTTCCACAACATTGATGATGTTTAGCTTCCCTTTAATTTTATGCTTCATATAAATCCTCCTTCCGGCTAATTTAAGGAATTTAGTAAATGTTGCTCTGCACTTGTTCGAATAGAACATTATTGCTTACTGTCATTTCTCTCTCTAAACAGATGCGAAATTGTGGAATTTCAACATGATATTTTATTCTTAAGTATTTGATTAATTGCTTCTGCCATCTAGACCATTGGATTTTGGGTACTAAATCTTATACGGTAAAATCTTCAAAACTTCAAACTTGGTTTTAAGCCTGACATTGTAACGCTTACTACCTTAATCCATGGGCTTTGTAGGGAGGATAAATTTGGTAAAGCCGTGGATTTGTTTGATGATATTGTTGAAAAAGGTTATCAACCCGATGTTTATACCTATACTGTGATTGTGAATGGTCTGTGTAAAATTGGGAAAACCAACATTGCCTTTGGTATTCTGAAAAGGATGGTAGAGAAAGGTTGTGCGCCTGATTTGGTGCCATATAATGCTATCATTGACAGTCTCTGCAAGGATAGATTTGTTACTGAGGCATTAGACCTCTTCTTCAAAATAAAGAGCAAAGGTATCTTACCTGATGTTGTGACCTACATTAATCCCGTGTCTGTGTTATGTCAAGCAGGTGGAAGGAAGCTTTTATGTTTCCTTAAACCAAATGTTGAGAGCAAACGTCACACCAAATATAATTACCTTCCATTACTTTGTTGATGGACTTGTAGGAGGGAAAGGTTTTCAAAAGGCTCATGGCGTAGTCAAATTATGATGCAGGAGGAATACAGCCTAATGCTATCACCTACAGTTCATTGATGTATAGGTATTGTCTACACAAACCAAGTGGATCAAGCTAGAGAAATTTTTGACCAGATGGTAAGCAAGGGGCTGTACACCTACTGTTGTTTACCTACAGCATCTTGAACAGCATCTTGATTCATTGTTACTGTAAGAGAAAAAGGATAGATGAAGCAATGCGGCTTCTTGATGAAATGCGTCGCAAAGGCTTGATGCCTGACCATTTCACTTATAGTTCTCTTATACGTGGCTTGTGTAAAGCAAAGAGCCCTTGTGCTGCACATAAGTTTTTCAAGGACTTGTGTGCCAGTGGCTATTCTCCCGACGTGGTGGTGTACTCGGTTTTGATAGATGGCTTTTGTAAGCATAGCTGTCTTGATATGGCATTGGATCTATTTCATGAAATGCAAAAGAAATTATTGAAGCCTAGCCTAACCTTATTGTCTATAGTACTCTAATTGATGGTCTGTTCAAAGCTGGAAAGGTTAAAGATGCAAAGGAATTGTTTTCTAGACTTTCCATAGAAGGGTTGCATCCCGATGTTTTCACATACACTATAATGGTCAAAGGACTTTGTAAAGAAGGATTATTAGATGAAGCATTAAAGGTTGTCAGGAAAATGGAAGGGAATGGTTGCTCACCAAATGATTGCTCTTATAATGTGATTATCAAAGGATATCTCCGACACAATGATTTGTCCATGGCAACAGAACTAATTGATGAAATGGTTGGCAAGGGGTTTTCTGCAGATGCGACTACTGTGGAGTTGATAGTAAACAATGATCTGCTTGTGAAAAAGCTACTAAGCTGCTCTAAAAGTTCTCAAGGTGTAAAGTTGAAGTGAGATTTTAAGAAAGAATTTTAAGAAAAGAAACAATTGTTATACAGAGTGAGATTTTAAGAAAGAACAATTGTTATACAGTCACAGGAGATGTTGTTCTGTTTTGGGTTATATGACTTAAATTTGTCTCTATTTTCTGCAATTCAATATTTATATTTGTATCAGACTTCTCAAGGTGTAATAGTAATTGATTTTGTTTGCTATCAAGAGAAAAAAAAGTAGTAGTGTTTTTTCTTTTCACTTGTTAAAATCTGCTGTCCAAGAGAATTTCTAATATTTGTTTCCTTACTCTACTTAGCAGAGCTGTAAATAATATAATGTATTTCATTGCAAAAGCTTGTAATAAATTGGCAAATTTTTTGTTGCAGGCTTTTACAATGAAATTTGCATCATACTCTTTAAGTTGAAGACTTTTTTTGAAAAAAATAAATTAAGTTCAATTCTTTTTTAAAAAAAAAAAAATTAAGTTGAAGCATTTTTTAATTTTTTAAGAGTTTTTTTTTAAATATTTCATAAATTTTTAAATTTTAAAATTTTGAAAATTCATAAATTTTTAAATTTTAAATTTTGAAAAAAAAAATGTTCTCTACTTTTTTATTTTACAATTATGCGATTCGCTAAAAAATCAGTAAGAGAACTGGCCGGAACCGTCAGTTTTAAAACTGTTAAGGAACTAGAATGGAATCGTAACCGTTCGGTTCCAAACCATAACCGAAACCGTCAATTTTCGGTTCGATTCCAGTTTTAAATTTTTTTGAACAAGAACAGTTGGTTCTGGAACTGGAATTGGCAGTTCCAGTACCATGGCCAGGTCTAACTTCAGCTAAACTCTGCCGCCATGAAAGAAGGTTCGAGTGGTGCTCATAAGGTCCAATAAAGACAACCCACCTCTCTTCATTGCTAAGGCATTTTATTAAAACTCACGCGATGCGCGGAGCAATATTAAACGATGAAATAATTTTTTATAACATCATTCAAAAATAACAAATTTATATAATAAAATGATTATGAAATGCATTATAAAATTGTATCTCATTAAGATATGCCAAAAAAAAGTTGCAATGCTAAGATGTGTCTTTTTAAATATCCTGCCAACCTTTTTATCAAAGTATGCAATAGTAAAAATCATGCATGACATGACAGTTTTTACAAAAACGTTTCATATAGACTTCACAATGTGTTTTATTGTTGAGAAAATTTTGGAGGGTAAAATTAGAAAACTGGAGTCTAAAATTTATTAAATAAACTTTTACAACATTTTCCTTATTTATTTCTTTTCTTTACTTTTTATTATTCTATATGTCAAAACCGAACCGGTGGGAACCGGAAACAGTCCAAATTGGAACCAGAATCGGTGGCCTACGGTTCGGTTCTAATTCCACCAATTTTGGAAATGTGAACCAGCGGTTCCCAGAACCGTTCGGAACAGATGGTTTTTTCAGCTAGTTACAACCAACGATTTGAATCGGCGATTCCAAGTAAATTTTGAATATTAAGCCGGAACCGGCATTTTTTTTCAGATAGTTTCTGAAATCCCCAAATTACCCATCCTAAAAACTAAACACGGCTAATTTCAAAGGTATTTCTGGAAAATTGATTTTTTGGATTTATTATAAATACCTCATTTTGAGATTTAATTATAAATACCTCATTCCATTAACAATCGCTCTTCATGCAAAATAATCCTTTACTTTTACAATTTCTAATTTTCAGTTCAGTATAGTTATTGTCCAAAAATTATTCAAAATAATTTCTTCAAAAATCCAAATCTTCAAATTATTGGGTGCCAAATTATGCGAATTTTAATTTCTTCAAAAATTTTAATCTCTTAATTATCTCTCTTAATTTTTTATTTATATTTTCCAAGTACGATATTATTTTGCCCCGTTAATGGCAAGTAGAGGAAACTTAATTCTCGTAAGGGCCAAGGGAAAGATTGCGAGAAAGACAATATTCATTTATCCTTACAAACGATATCTTCGATTTAACATTCTCGACTAATATTAAAATAAATAAATTAGGCATTTTTAGAACAAAAAACAAGATTAAGTTGAAGACTTTTTTTTAAAAAAAAAAAGATTTAAGGTTTCAAGTCTTTTTTTTTAAAAAAAAAAAATTAAAGTTCCAAGTCTTTTTAAAAAAAGTAAATTAAGTTCAAAAAAAAAAGTAAATTAAGTTCAAGAATTTTTTAATTTTTTAAGAGTATTTTTTTTATAAATTATTTCATAAATTTTTAAATTTTAAATTTTCAAAAAAAAATGTTCTCTACGTTTTTATTTTACAATTATGCGATTCGCTGAAATATCGGTTAGAGAACCAATCGAAATCATCATTTTTGAAACAATTGAAGAACCAGAACCAGAACTGTAACTATTCGGTTCCAAACCATAACCGGAACTATCAATTTTTGGTTCGGTTTCAATTCCAAATTTTTTAAAACCGGAACAAGTGGTTTTGGAACCGGAACTGGCGATTTCGGAACTGTGGCCAGGCCTAACTTCAGTTAAGCTCTGCCGCCTTGAAAGAAGGTTCGGGTGGTGCTCATAAGGTCCAACAAAGGCAACCCACCTCTCTTCATGCTAAGGCTTTTTATTAGCCTATCTCTCATAATCGATGGAACGACAATGCACATTATTAAGGCATTTTGTTAGAACCCACACGATGCACAGAGTAATATTAAACGATGAAATAATCTTTTATAACATCATTGAAAAATAACAAAATTGTATAACAAAATGATTATGAAATGCATTACAAAATTGTATATCATTAAGATATGCTAAAAAAAAGTTGCAATGCTAAGATGAGTCTTCTTAAATATCCTGCCAAGCTTTTTACCATGCAATAGTAAAAGTCATGCATGACATGACCTAGGGGTGTCAAAATTGGTTGCGTGTTAGGTTCGACATGGATTTGCCTAACACGTGACATGATTATGGTCAATCTTACGACCAATTTAATAATTGTATTAAATTTATCAATACAAACACGATACGAAAATTAGACAGGTGACACGAATACAACACGTATAACCGCCGAATATCATAAACAGCTTAAGTGAGTCGTGTTAACTCATATACAACCATTGACCTGTATACGACTCATTTAACCTGCTTATAATATTTTTAAATTTCAAACATTTAACTCCAACCATATTTAAAAATAAATTTTCGTTCATAAAATGCATAAATTCTTCAAAATTCATAACTAAAATAAAAAAGTAATACAACAATAATAAAATAAAAAAGTAATACAACAATAAAATTTAAATAAGTTTTAGTTGGAGTATTTATATCGAACACTAAAAGTACCTCTTTAATCTTAAATCAACGGGTCACTTGTCTAACCCGTGTGTTAATTCGCGACACGAGACGTTTATATTCGCATTATAAATGGATGACTCGTTTATGATACGAACTCGTTTAACCTCAACTTTAATCTATTTATTTCGCATGTTAGACGATTTGTGTTTGCATATTATGATCTATTTTGACACTCCCTAGTAGACACTCCCTAGTATGACCTGCATCAGGGACATGCCTAAAAAATTGGTTGAGGGGGCCCAATTATAAATTGAAGAACATTATTGGAGAAAGAAAATAAAAATCCATTGAAAATTTCTAATCTTCTATTCATTGAAAATTTTGTGCAGCTAATATGATAAAAATTAAAGACCTTAATTACAAAAACGTTTTATATAGAATTCACAACTTATTTTATTGTTGAGAAAATTTTGGAATGTAAAATTGAAAATTTTGAGTCTAAAATTTATTTAGTCTAAAATTTATTAAATAAATTTTTACAACATTTGCCTTATTTATTTCTTTTCTTTCCTTTTTATTATTCATTATTCTATATGTCAAAATTAAAATTTTCTCTTATTAAAAGAATAGAATTTATGTAAGTTCATAGTTAGGTTATTTTTTCAGTCAATGCCATAAAATTTCCATTAGAAATGACCATCTTTTTACCAAAATTAAAGTTATAGAGTTTAAAATTGATAAAGAAAAATTTAAGGGCACAATGAGTAAAACCTTATGAATTCATGGACTAATTTATGCATTTTACCAAAAAATTGAATATTTAAATTTTTTTAAAAAAATTTCAAAGGGGCTCATTGCCCCCTTGGCACACTCTTGGGTCCTTCCCTGACTTGCATAAAAAAATACACACACTATTAATGTATTTTTTAATAGTGATATCAAATTTTGAGAATTTAACTAATTATATTGAAATAAGAAATTAAGTATTTTTTAAGTATTTTTTATTTTATGTTTATGATTTATTATAAATAATTATTTATTTATTCAGTGTAGAGTGTCCTAAGCGTGTAGATATCCTACTTTTTTAAAAAATTATTCGTATCACATATGTGTCCTATTTCTCATGTCTCATGTCCATAGAACCTAACTTTTGATATATGAGACTACTCCATAAACTAAGATAATCGATCAAGGTTTTTTTTATTACCAAGAAAAAATGAATTTTTTTTTAATTTGTTTTTGTTTCTTTTCTTATTATTGAATTATCAGAAAAAATAAGAAGGAACTAAATTTCTTTTCAGAAAAAACTTCTATTATTTATTTTTTTGGATATGAAAGAAAAATAAAATTAATAGAGGAAAGAAAATGCAGAGAGTAAAAAGTTTTAATGATCAATTTTCATCAAACCGTAACTCTAAAAAGGTGGGAGATTTTATTGGATAAAAAAACTCATGAACATGGAACAAAAAAATTTAGGTCTGGCCAATTCGTTGAATACGGACATTTTTAGAACTAAATTTAAGAAAAAAATATGAAGGAACTAATTTTTTTTCCAAAAAAAACTTATGTTACTTATTTTTTTTGGATATAAAAAGAAATAAAATAAAATTTTCTTTATAAATTTATTTTTATAGTTTTAATTTATTTTTATAGTTTTTTATTTTTTCTTCTAATTAAGAGAAAATTATGGAAATTTTTTTTCCCTTATTTTTAATTCCAAAATAAAAATAGTTTTTGCTATTCCTTATTAATTTAGTTTTTTTTTTCTTTTTTTTTCTTCTTATTTGTAGTATTTGATGATATTATTTGAAAATATAAAATAACTTATCTTCTTACAATTTATGTCCATTACAAGTTAGATTCTTACAATTATGCCAAATAATTGCTCTCTTTACTCATATCAATTTGAGAGACTTACACTTGGCTGTCACAAGGTAGACTTCTCTGTTTTTATATATTATATAGAAAATAAGGTTTTTTTTGGAATAAATTTATGTTACCTATTTTTTTTTTTGGATATAAAAGAAAAATAAAATTAATTTTTCTCTACAAATTTATTTTTTCCTCCTACGTGACATTATTTGAAATTATAAAATAATTTATCTTCTTACCATTTTACCATTGTTGTCATTACAATTTATCTTCTTACCATTATACTAAATAACTACTCTACTTACACTTGATAATTTTAGAGACTTATACTTGACTGTCATTTAAAATAGACTTCTTTGCTTTTATATATTATATAAACGTGCAACACCAGATACTTTTTTTCCAAATCTAATAATATACCTTCCAATAGAAAATTGGAGCCCAACACAAATCATGTTAGGTTTCAATTGTATTTTTATTATTTATTATTTTATTTTTGGTTTGTATATGAATGGTGTATTTGAGCTGATTATGAATCATCATCAGGCTTATTTTAGTTTAATCTTAAAATATTTAATCTTAAAATATTATTTCGTAGCCTTTAATTTTCGCATGCTCAAAACCAAGTTGATTTGAAGGATATTTAATCTTAAAATTTTATACTTTCATTAATTTTATATTTCATTCAATTTCTCACTCTTTTACGAATTTATAGAACTCGATAAATAAAGCGTATTAAATGGAACTTTGATAAATAACCAAGTCCCTTTGTAAACAGAAGCTTACTAATTTATTAATTTATTAATTTAAAAAAATGGAACCAAGTTCCTTTTTCTTTATTTATTAATTTAATAAAATATTATAAGTTATGGACTGGTTCCGTGATGTTGTGACCCGATCCATTCACCATTGAACCAAAATATTTGGTGAGATTACGAGAGCAAGATTCCCTTTAGCCAATTTTCCGACTGGTTCTTTTACGCAGAGGCAGATAATCGATGATGTTAGCTAGCAGCCGGAGATGCCTTACTAATTGGCTTCGTCAGCCAATGGGTATTTTTGGTTCCGCTTCTTTTAGTAGTTCTAAAAGCAGTACTCATTTGAGAGGTAAAAGCAAATCTGATTCATTCCACAACATTGGTGACTCGAACTCGAAATATTTGGAACTCAATAAAATATTATCTGCACTTGTCCGCTATTAAGGAATTTAGTAAATTGTTCTCTGCACTTATTCGAATGAAACATTATACTACTGTCATATCTCTGTCTAAACAGATGGAAATGTTTGGGATTTCATTCGTTTTTTGCTCTATTAATATTTTGATTAATTGCTTCTGCCATCCAGACCATGTGGATTTTGGGTACTCTCTTATCGGTAAAATCTTCAAACTCGGTTTGAAGCCTAATATTGTAACGCTTACTACCTTTATCCATGGGCTTCGTAGGGAGGATAAATTTGGTGAAGCTGTGGATTTGTTTGATGGTTTGAAGCCTAATATTGTAACGCTTACTACCTTTATCCATGGGCTTCGTAGGGAGGATAAATTTGGTGAAGCTGTGGATTTGTTTGATGATATTGTTGAAAAAGGGTATCAACCCAATGTTTATACCTATACTGTGATTGTGAATGGTCGAGGAAGGTTGCCTGCCTAATTTGGTGTCATACAGTGCTATCATTGACAGCCTCTGCAAGGATAGATTTGTTACCGAGGCATTAGACCTCTTCTTGAAAATAAAGAGCGAAGGTATCTTGCCTGGTGTTGTGAACTACAACACCTTAATCCATGGTCTGTGCATTGTCAAGCAGATGGAAGGAAGCTTTTATGTTGCTTAACCAAATGTTGAGAGCAAACATCACACCAAATATAATTACCTTAAGTACTTTGGTTGATGGACTTTGTAAGGAAGGAAAGGTTTCAAAGGCTCATGGTGTAATCAAATTGATGATGCAGAGAGGACTATAACCTGATATTATCACCTACAGTTCATTGATGGACGGACATTGTCTACACAACCAAGTGGATCAAGCTAGAGAAATATTTGACCTGATGGTAAGCCAGGGCTGTGCACCTACTGTTGTTACCTACAACATCTTGATTCATTGTTACTGTAGGAGAAAAAGGATAGACAAAGCAATGCGGCTTCTTGATGAAATGCCTTGCAAAGGCTTGATGCCTGATAATTTCACTTATAATTCTCTTATACATGGCTTGTGTAAAGCAAAGAAGCAAAGAGGCCGGTGCGGTCTGCGCATAAAGTTTTTCAAGAAACTTGTGTGGGGCCAGGGCTATTCTCCCCAACGCCTATTTGGTGGCGCTTACTCGGTTTTGATAAATGGCTTTTGTAAGCCATAGCTGTGTTTGCATTATGCATAGGGACTATTTCATGAAATGCAAAAGGAAATTATTGAAGCACTTGACCTTGTTGTCTATAGTAACCTGGGGATTGATGGTATGTTCAAAATTGAAAGAATTAAAGATGCAACAGGGAAATTGTTTTCTAGAACTTCCATAGAGGGCGTTGAAGCCTGATGTTTTCACATACACTATAATGTCAAGGATTTTGTAAAGAAGTATTACTGGATGAAAGCATTGAAGATGAAGCATTGAAGGTTTTCAGGAAAATGAAAGGGAAGGGTTGCTTACCAAATAGTTGCTCTTATAATGTGATTATCCAAGGATATCTCCGACACAAAGATTTCTCCATGGCAGCACAACTTATTAATGAAATGGTTGGTAAGGGGTTCTCTGCAAATGCCAGCAGCACGGAATTGGTAGTAAATTTAATTTCGAGCGAGAAAGATTCCGCTTTTACAAAAGTTGCTAAGCGGCTCTAAACGTTCTCAAGGTGTAAGTGCAAAGTGAGATTTTAGCATAGAACATTTGTTATATAATTGCCACTTGTTAGTTAATATTACAATTTCACACAAAATGATAAATTGTGTAATCAAATGACACCATTGTCATTCTCTTTAGTTTAGTATGAAATAAGCTTAGTTTCGATACAGCAAGACAACATACATAAAATAGAAACAAATTTTTAAGATTTTCTCATAATGTCATGAGATATTCTTTAGGCTCAAATTATGCAGATTTATTTTTGATCTGCATTTGAAACTGCTCTTTTTGGTCTACAGATACATTCAAGTTATGGATTTTCCATAAGAAGATCCTTCGGTCCTGAAACCTGCTTGATCTTTTGTTCCTGGCAATGGACGTTTCCTTTGCCTATAATTTGGAGAAAACTCACTAAGTAGCTTGTGTTCTGTTTAAACTGTGTTGTTCATTAAACAGACAAGCGGTAAATGCATTGTTTCAATTTCCAATTAACTTCCATCTCAGCAGGACAGAAAAAGTTCAAATTCTGCAGATGCGATCTACTCCTTTCGAAGCAAACAGGAAAAGTGAGAGATGGAAATCCTAGTACAAAAAATTAATCTCCTGCACATTACACGAAGGTGAGGATCCTTCTTTCAGCTGTTGATATTCAAATTTCAAGCTTATCAAATAATTTTCAGAGGTCCTTTTCTGCAACAAAAAAAACCAAAATCAGGCAATATATGAAAAGTGAGATAATTGTCTTGTGATGCCATTGCAACAAAAAAAACCAAAATCAGGCAATATATGAAAAGTGAGATAATTGTCTTGTGATGCCATAAGAATCTCCGGTCCTCAATAGCTCTGGCCATTTTACCTGAATATGATGGAGTAAATAATTCCATATATATATAAATAACTTCGCACATATACAGAGTATAATAAAAATAAAACCACATAGCTTCCCACATAGCTCCATAATAGGCTGCGAACTTAGCTTGCATAGTAGAAGACGATACTATTGTCTCATCGGTCTGCTTAGCACTTTTCCAAGATATAGCTTCGCCATCTAACATAAAGATTAGTCTATTGGCTCTTTCAAAAAAAAAAAAACTATACACCCCGGTCCTGGCTAGTATTTTTCGGTAAGAATATATCCGGATGTGGCTTTCAATCATCTGAGTGACTAACAAAACTAGAATGTGTATTTGCTAACAATTCCGGGTGCTCAACTTTTTTTGTATGTAACATATAATTTTTTTTTTTCTTTCATCTTTTATTTCAAACAAGAAAATAAGATAAATTTGTGTAAAATCCACCGAATTTACTGAACTGACACAACAAAAATATTCAGTTTGATTCTATTTCGATTTCGCTAAAAATTATAATTGAGTGAATGCACATCTGACATCCCTATCTGCAACGAAGTAATAGTGGGGCTCTCCATGTCTTTTGTTAAACAAGCTCAAACATCTTATTTAACTAGAAGCATATACATACCTTAATGCTAAAGTTCATGTCTAAAACTATTGAGTATTTGATCCGATTTTGACGAGTTGGGAATTTAATTAGTATTGTATATTTAGCATATCTTTCTAATATAATTAGTATTGTATATTTAGCATAGATGTATATTTTTTTATTAAGTCAAAATAAAATATATATACAAATTTTTTTTCAGTTTTTGAAATAAAAAAAAATTAAAAAATATATATTTTTAATATGAAACAAGTATTTAAATAAGTCTTGATATTAATAGTAAAATCATAATCAGATTCAATATAAAACAGATTCAAATAAAAAAAAAAGTGAATTTTCAGATAAATTCAAAAATGGATATGAGTTGCTAATTTATCAATTCTGGTGATTTTCAGAATTGATGAGCAAAATAATGCATTTTGGAAAATAATTTCAGAATCACATTATTTTGGTCACACCCTCTCTTTTCCACTTCCACATGAAAGGCAGTATCTCCCATCTTCCCTCGCTCTCTTCTCCATTCTCTCATCCGATCCCAGATAATCTGACAAAATGAACCGGTGAAGAAGAATGGGTGAGACGAAATGAGAGCAAAAATTCAATTGATCATAAAAAAAGAAAAACGTGTCCGAAAGAATTATATATATATATATTTTTTTTTTCTAAAAATATTGAAGTCAATTGATCATAAAAAAAGGAATTTTTGATCCCTCTTTCTGGATTAAATAGGGTGGCGAATAGTTTGCAGGATTGAATTTGATGACATTTCCGATCAAAGTTTTGGCCGACAATAATAAATTGTGTAATCATATAATTTATTGACTAAACCCTAATTTTCAAATGTTCTCATAAAAAATGAATACTGGTTAGGCTCGATCATTTTTACTTTTGACAACCAGCTATTCCTTGTGTTCATGCAAGCAGTTACGTTACACTTACGCATTTCCCTTCTATCAGCAAATTATGCAGAATCTGCAAGGAGGTGTACTAACCTTCATTTCAAACAGCTCTTTTTGATCTACAAATACATTCAGGGTATGGATTTTCATAAAAAGATTCTTCGGTCCTGAAACGCGCTCGACCTTTTATTCCTGGCAATGGACCTTTTCTTTTCCTTGGAGCTCCTTGCCTATGTTTTGGAACAAAACTCAGTCAGTAGCTTATAATACTTCTGAAATTTTATTGTTCAAGAAACAGACTAATGACAAATGCATTACTTTAGTTTACAGTTAACCTCCATCTCAACAGGACAAAACAAGTTCAAATGCTGCAGGTGCAAGTTGTTAAATAAAATAGATTCAATATTCTCCTTTTGAAGTGAACATGAAAGGAGAAAAAAGTACTAAAATCTCAAAAAGAGGCAATAATCTTAGTACAAGAAAATGTGAAAGAAATACACTAAAAGTTAATCTTGAGAAAACTATCAAATAAATTACAGAAACTTGCAACAAAATTTACGTGTTCTTATGCATCTCCTGCACAACGTATGAAAATGAGGATCCTTCTTTCAGCCGTCCATTTTCTAGCTTATCATATAGTTTGACAATTCCCTTTCTGCAACAAACTACCATATCAAAATCAGGTAATATATGAAACATTCTTGGGAAAAATTATATTAAAAGTTATTTTCTGTTGGGGGGGGGGGGGGTATGGAAACATTCTTGGGAAAAAATTATATTAAAAGTTATTTTGCTGTTGGGGGGGGGGGGGGGGGGGGGGGGGTTCTGGCGGGAAAAGAACAAGAAAACTAGATAATCCTTTCTCAAGGCATAGCTTTTCTGTTTTAAAAAAAAAGGCATAGCTTTTCTGTTTTTTAAAAAAAGGCAAATCTGAGCCTCCTTTCATATGTAATATGAAAATCAAGGTAGACTTGAATTTTAACATTCTCTGTGAACATTGTTGGATTTTGAACAAAGTTGGGCATAATTTTAATCCCTGTTTCTCAGAATTTCATTGCTTTGGCGCTTAGACCATGTGGATTTTGGGTACTCCCTACAGGAAAAACCTTGAAGCTTGGTCAGCTTCACATTATTATTATTTTTTTTTATGTTTTTGAATAGTTTTGATAGGTTAGAAATATTCAATTGATAACGAAAAATATAGTTTTTGATCCCTCTTTGACATTTCCAATCAAAGTTTTCCAAATTCATAAAATCATTTGTTCCAAATTTATGCAAAATACAAATTTTCTTGTTCTAATTTTTATTTAACATACAAAAAATTATAATTTAAAAATAAAACAAAATTCAAAAAATATATAAAAGAAAATTGTCACTGGACAAGTTACGACTAGAGGTTGCTTTCAAACTTTTAACCTTTCGTTGTTTGATGATGAAGATGGCAAGTGATATGTCACGGCGCCCCAAACCACACTACAATTTAGATAAACATAAGGCTTTCGAGCTTCATAATAAGCGTAACTTATATAAATCTGATTTTTCTAATAAACTTTAAAGACAATAAGTCCATATTATTTTATTTAAATTTCAGTTAGGTCTAATTTCAACGCATTAAAATTAAATTAAATTATAATTGAGACCTAAATAATCAAATCACAATATTCATAATATAAGCTAACTGGTTCATACATATATATAACATATATAAAAATTCCATAATAGAATATGACACAACCAAATCTGTGCAGCTCAATAATAAATACATGTAGGTTCATTTTAAATGCACAATACTACAAATTATAAATTACTTTTTATAACTTCGTGAAAAAAAATACAAAGCTTATATGGATTAGTAAGAGTTTGCTACCTGAAAAAAATAAAATAAAACGACTCGCTTTACAAGTTTGCTACCTGAAAAAAATAAAATAAAACGACTCGCTTTACAATTCAGTAAATAATAATAAATAATGTACAACCTAGACAATCATAGAATTTGCTTCCTAAATTTATATAATGAGCACACAGCCAATTAAACACATGTCACAGCATGATCTACAAATAATATCACCTTCGTCTCTAAGTAGAGATTAATCAGTAGTTACCGAAATCCTAACAGTTGAGATTAATCAGTAGCGTTACCGAAATCCTAACAAATTATTTTCACACATGGCCTATACTCTCATACATGTGCATTAAGAGTCGATTTCTTATACATGGCCTACTAGTCGACCCCCTATACATGCTGACATGTCTAATCCTCGCTTGATTAGCTACTCTAATTAATTTTATGAAATAAATTTGGCAATATTCAAAATTAATTTACCTATTTAGAACTTATATTGGCGTTAAATTATTTCCGGTTGGAAACTGTTCCGATTATTTATTAATTTCAATTATAATTTTTTAAATTAATCAATAATTTAATCAATTTAAATTATACAATATACCGTTTGCTGGCTCATTACTTTTCAATTAATTAGTCTAAAATTTTTGGCAACACAATGCCAATATTACCATTTATATTTTCCGGTAACTTTTTTTTTCTATTAAAAATATTGGTAGAAAAATTTCAATTGGATCAGTACATAATCAGTATAAAAGTGGAAAAAAAAAACTCAACAAGTTTCAAATAACTTATTTTCCGTTATTTAGCTGCAATATTGAAAATTAGTTCAAAAAAATTTTATCTTTAACTTATAATATTATAAAAATATTTATAATCGTAGAAATGTCATATTTTAAAAAATTATTGTTGAATATGAGAAAAATACAAAAAAAGATTAAAATATAATTATTGACGGTGACCATGGCGGTGGCTAGTGACCATGGTCGTAGCCGATGGAAATCGGCAACCGAGGTTGAACGGTGAATAGTGGCAGAGAATATTTCTCACGACCTGTTCTATAGGTCGGAGCGGCACTAAGACCTAGGTGGAGTTACGGCAATCTAGGCCCGTAGCAAGCCTATACTCTAATTATAGTCATGGCTTCATATAATTAAAATGCAATTCATATAATTAATATATGCACCCATATTATTATTCAATTACAACTCATTGGAATACAATTGCGAAACTCCATAATTTATAGTCCTTTATATTTACATGCTTGATACAACTATTAATAATTTTGTTTATTTTATTTCAACTCGGTTGGATCTATAGGGTTCACCTCTCCTCCTATTACCTGAAAAAAAAAATACATGCTTGATACAACTATTAATAATTTTGTTTATTTTATTTCAACTCGGTTGGATCTATAGGGTTCACCTCTCCTCCTATTACCTGAAAAAAAAAAAGGAGGTAGGGGGTGAACGCCAAACTCAATGAGTAGGGTTAGATACTCACCCCACACAATCATACAAATAGAGATGTAAATCAATTTAGTATTCCGACTAAATATATAATCATGCAGTCGATCACACAAACGACAAAACAACAGTAATTACAATTTTTAACACCTATAATCAATATCAAGTAGATGTTGGTCAGTGGCATCACCCTCTCACCACGTGTGCACCAGGGAGCCGTCCTCTATACCTGGCCAATCAGTTTCAATCTCACTTGACCATCCCTCTCATTTTTTTATACTCTCTTTTATTTTCCATACCAACAAGAGACCAACTTGTAGTTTTCCATATCATATATCATCAGATGCATACAGGGTGCTGATCTCTCTACACATGGCCGATGGTATCATAGACTACCCTCACAAACCCAACGGTGACCCACTTCATTCCAACTCCACACAAGGAAAGCAAACATGAAGCACATCACAACTAATCAAATCATTTTAAATAATAACAAATAATGCAACACATTACAATTTACTAAGTAATGCATGTCTAGTATTTAGCCGTGTATGCATGGATGCAAATGCAGGTGGATGATACGTATTATCTAACACTACTCACAGTTTTATAGTTTAGCTGGAAGTTGTGCTCCTATATTGCTATCCGGTTACTCGATATTTAATTCCTCATAACCCACAATAATGTGTAAAGAAAGAACCAAAATAAATTTATTATTCATGAATTCTAACTGTGCTTTCCAAATTCAAAATTTTAATAATATTTTATCTATTTTTCTTAATCTTAAGTTTCCTACTTTTATACGCTAATCTAACCTTATTATAATTCTTTAATTAAATAATCTTCTGTAAACATTAACTAATGAAAAAAAAAAAAAAGTTAATTTCATTATTTTACATTGTCCTAAAAAAAATTCTATCTATCTATTTCAAACAGTATCAAACATTCAATTTACGCTGTCATGGGGCGATTCAATTTCAAATCATAATCACATCCTCCTTTTAATATTACAGTCAACATCAAAAGGGTTCTCATTTATCAATATCAAGGATGTTTATACAGTCAACTCCAAACTCAACTTATTTAATATGATTTTTTTTAACTACAACTTGGATTTAATAAATGTCAAATAATATTTTACTCGTTTTTAACTAAAGCTTCTTGTAAGCAATCAAACCTTTTATTTATTACAATACTAGAATTGAAAATCACTAGATAATCCTTTTATCTAATAACATGCTGGTCACCGGACCGCTCCGCCAGCCATCGTGCACGGTGGCTGAAAAATTGATTTTTGCCAAAACCGAGCAACACATACACCAAAATGCTCCAAATCTCATGGGGATTCAGAATTCGTGATCAATTTAGACTGGGTGTATCTCATTTGGCTGGAAACGGCCTCGACAGCCACTGTACCACCGCCATTCATGGTGGTTTCGTCGTCCTGCCCCATTTTCTGAAGTAATGGAGGGAAATCATTTAGGAGGGGACTAGGTGTCGATTGAGACCATCCTCAACACTTGAAGTCGACGGAACGACGAGATTTCGCTGGAAAACTCCATCGCATGGTGACGCGACCTTCCAATCACGATCTCTCTCGATTCAGGCCCTTATCGTGCGAACCAAGGCCACCGGAGTGATTTCTCATCGAGCTCTTAAGCTTAGAGTCCTCACTCGCCGGAAATGATGGCCGTTTGGCCAGAAAATGGGAAGGAGAGGGAGAGAGGGGCTGTCGGTGTCGGGGGGAGAGGGGAAGTATTTTTTTTTTGGCTTTCTCTCTCCTCACTTGATTGGTTTATGTCTTGGTTTGGTTCAACTCAAATGGGTCTGGTTTGATAAATGGAAGCTTTTAGGTTCTCTTTTTTTTTCCACTGGTTTGTTTTATTTTAATTAGTTTAGTCAAATTTTATACCTTTCTTCAATTTATTCAGCAATAGTTGCAGTATAATAAAATTACAGTTTGGGATCATCAAATTAAGAAGTAGATATAATTTTGTTATTATTATTTTAATTGATTTAATATTTAACGGCCAATATTAATTCTTAAGAAATTTAAAATATTCTCGACTAGGAGTTCCAATAATATGTTTTGGGCTTGAGCGTAACTCTGCAAACTTAGACTCGGATTGAATATTTTACGGTATTTACAGCTCATATAGTCAAAAATCCAGATTTTTGATTTAATAAAAATTTAAAATTTTTGAAAATAAAATTACGAGGTGTTTCACTGATTAATAAATTAAAAAAAATATATATTTATAAGATTATAATAAATCTGAAAATATTGTTTTATTTTCTTGAAAATAAGAAATATATATTTTTTAAAAAAAATGACTTAATCTTTCTTTGATCAGAAAAATATTTTTCGTTAATTTATTTTTCTGAATGCTATAAATAACAGAAAATCATGAAAAATATTTTTGTACAAATATATACACACACACGCGAAAGCTGAAACAATGAGAAAATCTCAAACTTTTCCTTTGTTTAGCATTCTATTTTTCTTTCTTTAGAAATTTTTCTTTATTTTTCTGTATTATGATTGGACAACATAAATATATTAATTAATATTGACTACAAATTATTCATATTGAATTATTTAAATTGTTGAGTTGTATCCCTCTAAATGATTGAGTTTTATCTACCCTTAAACACTTTATTTGAGTTGTTTTATCTACTTTAAAATATTGTATTCGAAAACATAGATTATCTATATATATGTACATAGGAGAAAATTTTGTTCCAAATAAAATAATATATCTTCCCATAGCAAAGAGTTTTTTTTTTTTTTTTTTAGGAGAAAAATTTTGTTCCAAATAAAATAATATATTCTTCCCATAGCAAAGAGTTTTTTTTTTTTTTTTTTTAGTTTATACTAGTAGAATTTTTTTTTTTTTTTTTAGTTTATACTAGTGTTAGAACTCACGCAATGCGTCGAGTAATATCAATCGATGAAATAATCTTTTATAACATTATTCAAAAATAACAAAATTATATAATCAAATGACCATAAAAAGCATTAAAATTGTATCTCATTAAGATATACTAAAAAAAAGTTGTAATACTAAGATATGTCTTCTTAAGTATCCTGCGAAGCTTTTTTCCAAAGTATGCAATAGCAAAGGTCATGCATGGCATGACCCAGGGGTGTCAAGATGGGCTAGCGTGTTAGGTTCAACATGGATTCGCCTAACACGCGACACGATTAGGATCAACTTGAACACGACTAATTTAAAATTGTGTTAAATTTGTCAATACAAACACGATACGAAAATTAGACAGATGATACGAACATGACACGTTTAACTTGTCTAATAGCATAAATAGTTTAAATGAGTCGTATTGATTTATATACAACCCTTGTAACTAGCTTAATATCATAAACAGATTAAGTGGGTCGTGTTGACCTATATAGACCCACTTAATCTGCTTATAATAATTTTAAATTTGAACCTATTTAACTACATTCATATTTAAAAATAAAATTTCGTACCTAAAATGCATAAATTCTTGAAGATTCATAACTAAAATAAAAAGTAATACAATTTATTAAATATATTTTTACAACATTTTCCTTATTTATTAAATAGGATTCATAAAATTTTCGAAGGTAAAATTGGGAAGCTGGTGTCACGACCCGTTTCCATGGGCCGGACCGGCACTAGGGCCCAGGTAAGCTTAAAGCCCCCGAGGCCCGTAGTAAGCCTAAATTATCTAATATGTCTACCTATCTTTTCCAATTTCATTGTCTACCTATCTTTTCCAATTTCATCAAAACAGTAAACCCATATACAAACATCTGGCCCAAACTCAAATAACACAATGTATAACCAGGGCCTATTCACAATAAGTTATAATCACGTTATGGGCTTACTGGTTCACCTGCAGCTAATTACCTAACATTTAATTTATAGTGTAGTGCTAACAATAAGTCCAATATTAATACTGCAGCTAATTACCTAACATTTAATTTATAGTGTAGTGCTAACAATAAGTCCAATATTAATACACAACCCTATAACTGCGGAGTCTAAAAATAATCTGATAACGGAATAGAGTCCAAAAAAAATCTGATAACAGAATAATTTATACATTCAAAATTAAATATCAACAATATAAAGTTTACATTTGTAACTCTGCGGAGAAGATTTGCAGAGCTTCAGTTGAATCAGCTGCTTCCTAGTACCTGGGAGGTTTTTTGGGCGGGGGGTGAGTTTTGCAATTCAGCGAATAATAATAAATAATATACATCACAAACAGTCACACAAATGCACCCTAGAATACTGAATGTACACACAACAGTCAATCATATGGCATCATATCAGCACCCACAAACAATATCACAAAAAATCCAATATCACCTTCCAAATAATTCACATCAAACGTGAAATTCAAGTCAGTGCGTCAACCCTAAACCCCGACGAGCTCGTCCTCTTCAAAACAGCGCCATGCCTCCAAAACATGTGCACTCCGGAGCAAATCCCCCATAGTCTGGCCGACCGGTCTAGATCTCACATGACAAATCCTCTCAAATATTTATTTGAACAATTCTCTCTTTCTTTTCTATCTCATCAACATCATTCATCAATTCATCAAGGGTGCACACAGGGGGCGCCGATCTCTCCATTACCCGGCCTGACGGTCCATTTCATCCAAGTTCATCAAACCATATCTATCGTGACCCGTCCTCCAGAAACCCAGGGTGACCCACTTCATCCCTAACCTCACACAGATACAGAGCACAGTATATAACAAGCAAGCACAAATAATCAAACCAAATCATTTATCCATAATACAACCAATTTCATCCAAATGCACAATTATCATAAGTAAATTATAGTGAATCCAATAAATAATATATTTTGAGAAAAATACAATATGAATATATAGAAAATGTAAGTTAATGCAAATGCATGTGTGAACATGCAAATTATTTATTAAACTCACAGTGAATGGAAGAGCGAAGTTCTAGCTTTGGATTCTGTCCCTGAGGAGCACATAGATGGACCTCGGGCGAATCTACGCAAGTTAAACGACACAAAAGAAAATAATCCTATCAGACATATTTCTTTACCACTTCTAAGAATTTTATTTATATCTACATTTTTTTTTCTACTAAATAAATCTCAGATATGTTAAATTTCTTTTCTGACTAAAAATTTTTATTTTTCTGATCTAATCTATTTAATTTTTTTCGTCCTGAAATATATTTATTTCCTATTTTAGTCTGTCTTCCTTCTACCGAAATTTATTTTATTTTTTTATACCGAATTTGTTTTTATTTTTCTACCGAAACTTATTTTATTTCTACCGAAATTTCGGCAGCATCTCCCCCTAAAAGTTGGACTATCCACCTGTTAAAATATACACAATTTATCTAAAAATTTCAAACCACACAGCCCATCCATCGGGCAATCAATCAATCAAATTTTTCCATCCTCCATCAATAACGTTATATCGAAACTTCATTAAATCAACAATAAAATTATAAATCTTGTAACTACTCACAATTACTAAATTAAATTAACTAAATTAATTCACTACAACCAATAAATTTAATTTAATTAACTACTATTACTAACATTAACTTAACTAAATTAATTGACTACTAATAATAAAAATTAGCTAATATTACTAACATTAATTTAACTAAATTAATTAACTACCAATAATAAAATTAATTTAATTAAATAATATTATTAAAATGAAATTATACCCAATATATTGTTGCCGGACTTTTTGGTTAACCGGAAATGGAGGTTGGTGGCCGGAGAGGAGGGTGGCGATGGCGGATCGACTGCGACAGCAAGGTGCGGCGGTGGCGCACGGTGGCTGGGTGGCGCGATCACCTGCTGTCTCGCCAGAAATGAAGACGCAGGCGCAGTGAAGGGAAAAAGGAAAGAAAGAAAGAAAAGAAAGAAAGGAAAGAAAAGAAAGAAAGAAAAGAAAGAAGAGAAAGAAGAAGAAGAAAAAGGAAAATAAGAAGAGAGGGAGGAGGAGGCGCTGCTGTGATGGTGAGGAATAGAGAGGGCAGCGCTGAGATAAAAAAAAAACAAAAAGTAAAGGGAATTTCTAGAATGTTTTTTGGGTCGAACCGGTTACGATTCGATTCGATTCGGCCCAAATCATCAATTTTCACTTGGTTTTTCGACTTTTTCCAATCGTTTTTGGTTCGGTTTTCAATAGTAAGTTGCACTAAAATATTAATATTAATGTTCACAGGCTGTCGGTTAATTAAATTTAATTGGGATAATTTTGAAAATAAAAAACTGTCGGTTGTATTCAAGTCCTTCCCCCCCTAAAAAAACAAAATTCGTCCCTCGAGGAATTTTTCTAAGTAATCAAAAAACAAGGATGCAACAGTTGTTTTTATTCGAACAATGGTAGCTGTAGTTTCTCACATAAATGTTGCAAACTACTAAGTCTATTACATTTAACATTCCGAAAGAATACTAAGGTGAATCAAAAAGGGAATGAGATAAACATTTTTTCAGTTCAGAGTGGTGAAAAACTAAATTTTTTTTTCTTTTTTTTTTTTTTTTTGGGTAGAACTTAAGTATGACAAGACCAATGACAGATATGGGAAGAAAATCTTAAATTTTTTTTTGGAAGGGAGGGTAGGATGATTATGAGATGAATCTATCCTCAAAGTTATCTACCTTATCATCATAGTTAATTTTAAACTTGAGTTGTACTATATCTAGCAAAAGTCGATCATCTCAAGTGAAATATTTCAATAACATATTCATAACCCAAGGCACAGATTCGACACTAATATTCACCTCCACACGTAAGAATTTAAGTCCCTTATAACCTCTGCTCAAGTAAGGGTTATTCATTTCATTAGCTATATATCATGTGACCTACATTGATGTATCGCCTCATTTATCTCTCACTAGCTATTATAGGCAACGATCATTTCTCAATAAGATGCTCATACACCAACCAAGCATTAAATCTTCTGATACTCGCATCCACATATTCGAATTTACTACTATTCCAATCTAGGATCCCTATTATTATTATTATCAAGTTCCGCCAGTAAGTGCTATTTGAATCATTTCCAAACTATTTGAATCATTTCCAATTAAAGAGAACAAATTCTTGCCACTACTACAAGCTTATTTCAAATAGAATCAAGACATTTCTCTAGCTAAGTGCTATCAACTTATAGGATATACTTGGCTTCTATCCCAATCACATCACCTCTTTAACAGCTTAACCATTTTCTAACGAAAGATAGATATATAATCTCTTTAAAAATCCTACTAATGAGAATCCATTAAAACGAGTAGTACATCAATTATATAGAGAATTTTAAATTCACAATCAAGTCCCTCTTTGAGTTATTAACTTCTCTGTTCCTTTTTCCAGTTGTCATACCATACCATTTCTTAATTAATTATGACCAGAACTTATGCAACTAGCCATGTTAACTGTTGCCATGCCAAATAATTCTTAATGTATTTATGCACACACCATTCCATTACACTCAACTCCATAAAGAAGTCTAGCCTACATTTTTTTTTTAATCTTACTCAAGATGTAAAATTCTCCAAATCGTAGTTTATATTCAATTTATCTATTTCTTCTGTCTTTAACCAATCTTTTAGACCGAAATTTATGTATCTAGAAATCAAGAATCCTAAACAAGTAGTGCCTTTTGCTCTAACTAAGTACGGGATTAAGAATGTTAAACCATAATTTAACTCCTGAGTAGATTATGTCCATTATTTTATGTTTATTCTTAATCCCATGAATGCCTATGAAGATTCAGATAATAATATATCATTGAGTTTCTCCAAGTCTATCACCTTCCAAAATTTGTTATCCTTTTCTCCAAGTCTATCACCTCCAAAATTTGTAAAATTTATACCTAATACGATCTAGGAATATCCTCAACCTTAATTATGTTCTCTCTACATGCTTTACTCCAAACAAGATTAATACCTCATTGAATCCTTTAACATCAGAGTTACATTGTATCAGTCCTCGAATTGACCTAGCTAATTAATTATTCCTTTACACTGCAAGTTATGTTGCAAACTGCCATTTATAACAATTTTATTCATTCAATCATAATTTCCACCAATTGCTAAGAATTTCATAATAGGTTTACATCGACTCCAAATCATGTATTAATGATCCTCATCCTAATTGGTATCTCAATCATCCCATGAGCAATTTTTCATTGATTACTGATCTGATCGACACCTATGAGCTGGCATTCCAATATAATTAAGAGGAAATCTTAAACCGTCCCGTTATCACATCCATTAATCCTATAGTTTATATTTTCAGTCTTTAAATACTAGCATGTATCCTCCTTACTAATTTGTTAAAACTATCCCAAATTCACTTATTCTTTCTTATACCAGTTTCACTGTTCCATACAAATAGTAATTTAAAACTCAATACAAATAGTAATTTAAAACTCAGCTTGCTTACTAATGGATGAAAATACTCTAATTACCTTCATGTTCTAATAAGGACATAAATATAACTTTCCTTCTTTATCTAATAAAACAAGTAACTTGCAAAAGTTGCACTAATTAATAAAAATTCCTTATTTTAATTGCTTTACGGCAAGAAATTAAATTTATTCACATTCGTCGTCATCTCAAGCTAAGTCGCATGATCCTTTATCAACTCTTATGCTCAGTTATTACTATTAATAACACTTATCACTTGTAGTTAATACATTTACAAGCTCAATATGTGGATTCAATTAATATAACTCATAAACTATTTTCTAACCAGATGCCATCAAGTTACAGAAGTGAGAATTTTCTTATCTCTCTCTCAAGTAGAAAGTCTATCTTTCTTTCTGAATATAAATACTAAGTTCTTTCGTCATCCGGATTACAATCCTTGAACCATTATCTATTTGTTTATCACAAGACATTCAATAGTTTCCTACATTTGATCTCTTTTTAGATTCTAAATTTAATATTTATAAACCACTAAATTCTCGAAACTCACCTCGCAAAGACCGATTAACTCACTCATAAGTTTGGTTATAACATTATCAATTATTTATTTAATAAATTATTTATTTAATATTTCTATTAGAATTATCATCAACAGTAGATAATTTATTTTAAACCTCAAAAAGCCATTTTTTCCACTTCAATAGATATACATGTTCCATCATTATATCTTAAAATTTCACTCCTTTTTTGTATAACTACATAGTCTAACTACTATTCTAGAGCATCTTTTAACTTTCTAAATTTCATAAACCTTAAATTTATTTACAGTATAAAAAATTCACTCATTCATGCATATTTAAATTTTAATATCTACCTTAGCTTATTCTTCAAAAGACTATAACAAAGATATAACAAGACACTGTTCAATTATACAAATATTATTCTCCTCTATTCTTCATACTCAAATTATGTTCAAATTATATTCAAATTATATTCAAGCTATATTTTTTCCTAATATGATTATCACCTAACATAACAGCATTTCAATCCCAAAACCACTAATTTCCTTTGCTACCTTTTACTTTTATCATTTAACTTTAACTTATTAATCCTATATAACTTATCTTCTTACATACATAAATTATATATGAATATTATTTATTCCATAGAAGGATTTTTGTTTAATCCATCCCTTTAGCATCAGTAACTAAATCACATCTCTAAAGAATAAAGAACAAGGATACAGATTTTAATCATTAAACAACTTGACTTTATCCTAGCTGCGAATCACGCTGAATGGGAAAGCAAGGAAAACTATGTCAAGACATGACAGGAATTACTCCGCAGTTACATCTAGACTTATGAACTTTTGCTCTGATACCACCTTTACGACCCGTTTCCATGGGCCAGACCGGCACTAGGCCCTAAGGTAAGCTTCTAAGGCCCCGAGGCCCGATAGTAAGCCTAAATTACCAATATGTCTACCTATCTTTTCCAATTTCATTCAAAACAGTAAACCCATATACCAAACATCTTGGCCCAAACTCAAATCAACACATAATGTATAACCAGGGCCTATCACCAATAAATATAATCACGTTATGGGCTTACTGGTTCACCTGCAAGCTAATACCTAACAATTTAATTTATGTGTACGTGCGAACAATAAGTCCAATTAATTACAAACCCTATAACTATAACTGCGGAGTCCAAAAATAATCTGATAACAGAATAATTTATACATCCAAAATTAAATAACATGAATATAAAGTTTACATTTGTAACTCTGCAGAGAAGATTGCAGAGCTTCAGCCGAATCAGCTGCTTCCTAGTACCTGGAAGGTTTGTTGGGGAGGGGTGAGTTTTGCAACTCAGTGAATAATAATAAATAATACACACCACATACAGTCAAGCAAAATGCACCATAATATACTGAATGAACACACAACAGTCAATCATATGACATTACATCAGCACCCACAAACAATATCACCTTCAAATAATCACATCACGTGGAAATTAGTGCATGGCGTCACCTAAACCCGCCGACGAGCCGTTCCTCTCAAACAGCCCATCCTCTCAAAACATGTGCACCCGGGGAGCCAATTCCCCCATATCTGGCGCCGAACCGCGTCTAATCCCTCACTTGAGCCAGTCCTCTCAATATTTTATTTTACAATTCTCTCTTTCTTTTCCATCTCATCAACATCATTTCATCAATTCATCAGGTGCACACGGGGCGCCGATCTCCATTTACCCGCCGACCGGTCCAATTTCATCAGTCATCAGGATCCGAATTATCGACCGTCCTTCACAACCCAGGGTGACCCACTTCATCCTAAACTCCACACAAACAGAAGCACAGTATATACACAGCACAAATAATACAAACAATTCATTTATCATAATACACCCAATTCATCCAAATGCACAAATTATGCATAAGTATAATTATAGTATCATAAGCATTAATATATTTGAGAAAATCAATATGTAAATATGATACAAAATGTAATGTTATGCAAATGCATGTTGACATGCATTATTATATTATTACTCACAGTGATGGAGAGCGAAGTTCAGCTTTTGATTCTTGTCCTGAGAGCACAGATGGACCCGGGCGATCTACGCAAAACTTTTAAGAACGACACCAAAGGAATAATAATTCTTATCAGACCAAATATTTCTTTTGACCACTCTAAGAAGTTTATTTTATTTTCTTACATTTTTTTTTCTACGTAAATAAAATCTCGATATTTAATTTTCTTTTTGGTATACTAAAAATGTATTTTTCTATCTAACTCTATTTTATTTGTTTCGTACTGAAAATATATTCCTTCTACCGAAATTTATTTTATTTTTTTATACCGAATTTGTTTTTATTTTTCTACCGAAACTTATTTTATTTCTACCGAAATTTCGGCAGCATCTCCCCCTAAAAGTTGGACTATCCACCTGTTAAAATATACACAATTTATCTAAAAATTTCAAACCACACAGCCCATCCATCGGGCAATCAATCAATCAAATTTTTCCATCCTCCATCAATAACGTTATATCGAAACTTCATTAAATCAACAATAAAATTATAAATCTTGTAACTACTCACAATTACTAAATTATCGTAACATAATATATATGATAAAATACTTATAATATATTGTAAATATGTAAATAAAAAATATAATGTTTATAAATAAATGATATGCAAATGTAGTGTTGATATGCATTATTTATTATTACTCAAAGTGATGGAAGAGCGAAATTCTAACTTTGATGTTGTCCTGGAGGAGCACTAGATGGACCCGGGCGATGCAATATATATTGTTGCCGGACTTTTTGGTTAACCGGAAATGGAGGTTGGTGGCCGGAGAGGAGGGTGGCGATGGCGGATCTATTGCGACAGCAAGGTGCGGCGATGGCGCACGGTGGCTGGGTGGCGCGATCAGCTGCTGTCTAGCCAGAGATGAAGACGCAGGCGCAGTGAAGGGAAAAACAGGAAAGAAAGAAAGAAAAGAAAGAAGAAGAAGAAGAAGAAAAAGAAAAATAGAAGAGAGGGAGGAGGAGGCGCTGCTGTGATGGTGAGAAGTAGAGAGGTGCAGCGTTGGAGATAAAAAAAAAAAACAAAAAGAAAGGGAATTTCGCCTGGCCAGATAAAAAGAAAAAAAGAGATGTTTCTAAATGGTTTGGGTCGACCCGAGTTCGATTCGCGTTTCAATTCGTCCCAAATCTTTGATTTTCACTTTGGTATTTCGCACATCTTTTCAATCGGTTTTCGTTCGATTTCTCAACAGTGTTGTGTTTTCGCAATAAAATATTAATAAAATATTAAAATAAATTTCCAAGCTGTCGGTTTATTAAATTTAATTGGAAAATCTTTGAAAATAAAAATTCGGGTTGTTTCAATTTTACACAAAAATTAAATAACATAATTTAATAACGAATTAATAGAGGGACATGTGATGAAATTGTATTATTATTTTAGAAATGATAGTGATTTCAATTTATGTAGTCGGACTACACCCATAGATTGACAGAAAAATAATAACATATTATATAAATCATTTCTTTCTTTTTTTTTATATATAATGAGTTCACCTCTATGATCATAAGTTAAAATTATAATACAATATTCAACTGTCCATTTTTGTCATTTTAAATCAAATAGCTATTTTTACTGGATACTTTTATTTTAAACAACTATATAAATAGCTAACAGCTAATATTTAATAGCTAATAACTACAGAAACATTTAACAGCTAGTAATGCCGAACAGGTTCTATATATAGGGATCTGAAATATCTATATATCTATCTATCTCAACATTTAATAAAAGCAAATTGTGAAAATAATTGGATTTTTAGGAGAAATAATAGGATTTCCTAGCTAAAACATTTTAATAAATTTCGAGATATCCTAATATAGTTTATGGCAATAAAAATTTTTTAATTTAATATATATATTAATATAGTATATATATATATATATATATTATAAATATTGAATTTGAATAATTAATATATAAATAGATATTTATAACTTTCAATTTTTTGAATTTTAGAGCTCTTTACCTTAGTTTTTTAAAAAATTTTTATTTAAATACTACACACACAATATTTGAGTAATTTATACATAAATAGATAATTATTTATGACTTTCAAGTTTTTGATCAGAGATTTTTTCATTAGTTTTTTAAAAATTATATGGTGCACACACACACATATAAGAAATTTTAATATTTTTAGTTCACCTAATAAATATTTTAAAATTTTACTAATCAATTTTAATAAATGTTTATTCGTTCATTTAATCCGTTTCTATTTAATTTATTTATTTTAAATTATCCAAAAACTTGTGTTTAATTTATATATTTTAAAATTGCAAATAAATAATAACATGTAAAAGTTACTTAATCTAAGTATACGTGTATTTATTTATTATGTAATTTCTCTTTTTATTGTGTAAAAATAAATGAAACAATAAAATCTTTTAAAAAAATCATAGATGCTAATTGAAGTCTAATTTTATCATTTTCAAAAAAAAAAAAAAAAAAACTTAAAGAATTAAAAAAAAAAAAAAAAGATTAATCTTAGAATTAATAATAAATTTTCATTTAATCATCTATAATTATTTTCTTAAATATACTTGATTTTTTTAAAACCGTCATATCATATTAAAATTAGTTTAAGTATAATATTATTCTCTTTAATATGAATTTTATTTAAATAGAGACAAATTTTAATTTAAAGTTGTTACACATAAAATCATATTTTAACACTATAAATATGTAGAGAATATAAGAGAATAATTATAACCATACTTAATATATGATCTATATTATATATAAATGTGAGAATACGGAGAGTGAATAATAGAACTTTTGGTAGTATTTTTAAATATTCTAAAATAACCTTAATCATGGCCAATTAAAAGATTTTATTTTTAAAAATATTTATAACATTTAATTGTAATTTTAAATATTTTAAATATCATATCAACCTTTAATCTTCTAATAAAATTTTATCTAATCAAATGTTTGCTTAATTTCAATAACAATTTAATATAGATCATTTAATTTTTATAAATATTAACATAAGAGTATATTCAAAAAAATAAGCAAAAATTATAACCTAAATATATTAATTAAATTTTCTTAATTTTATGTGCAAGTCAAATCAGGTCTCATATTGTAGGACGACGGGAATAAAACATTATATAATTAGTTTAAAGTTTTCATAAATAAAATAAGTTTAATTAATTTTTTTGTAAAACATTATGCTATGTTTGAAAAGAGGGAGGAAGTAAAATAACACTGTCAAAAATGATCCTATTCATTTTCGTTTAATAATAAAGTGAAAATTAGGTTAGAATGGCACAAAATAAATTATTTTACACTCTCCTTAACATTTCCATCCAAACCTAATAAGAGATTTTAAAAATTCAAGACATTTCACTCTCTATTTTACATCCACTTATATCATTAGCTCCATCTAAACGAAACATTAATAAAATTTATGTTTTGTCTGGATGAGTAAAATACGTGTAGATGTAAAATAGGAGGTTAAAATATCTTGAAATTATAAAAATCTCTTATTTGATTTAAGTAAAAATATAAAAAGGGTGTTAAATATATTTATTTTACACCTACTTTAGCATCATTTTCATTTATTTTAGAAGGAAAATTCCCTCCTCTTCCCAACAATGACTCCGTGCAGAAAAGTGAATACCTAATAAATGCCGGTGGAAAAAGAAAAGGAAGTTGTCTGCTGCTATTAATATGTAAGGTAATGGTAGTTCTGAGTCATAAAGGCTGGTTGGTTGAAAAACTATTGACATTAGGCAAAGATCGATGTGCAGTAGTAAGTACCTAATTACTCTTGTAATTAATTCTATCCATCAGTGAGTGAATTTATTGCTGCAACAGTGAAAAACAGCTATGGTGAGGACTGTCATGAATCTAAAAATAAAATTAATTTTGTCAAATAAAATATGAAAAAGCTCATAAAAAAATAAAAAAAAATAATGAAAATTTGATTAAGGAAGTAATTAATTCTCCTAGATTATAACAAATTTAAGGATAATTTGATTATCTTAAAGATCAATAGTTGCTTGTGAAATATTTATTGTATTTGAAATATTTATTGTAATTGTAATTAATTCTCCTAGATTATAACAAATTTAAGGATAATTTGATTATCTTAAAGATCAATAGTTGCTTGTGAAATATTTATTGTATTTAGTATAAACAAAGGCAATATTTAAAAAATATTATTTATTATTTTTTGAAATACACAAAATAATTTATATTTTGAAATAAAATAATAAATAAAAAAAATAACTTATATTTTAGAACTGAACTGAAGGAGTAATTCAGTAGAATTAGCTAATGACTTTGTAACTGAGGGTGCTCCTTACTTGATCAGTCCTTGAAAGTAATTTAAAGTATCGGTGGCATTAAAGAATAAGATTAGTCATTGTAGATAGGGAGACCTACCTAGAATAGGACATGGAATTACGTACAAAAGAGATTGAAATTAATTAGCCTTTCGTTTTAAAAGTTATTAATTATCTTAGATTGTTTTTCAATTAGCATATTAATTGTTAGACAAAAGGGCACATACATGTTACGATGGAACCACGTACCGATCTGGTGGGAGTATGATTTAATTTTAATTCAGTGAGCTGGAGATATCTGTAGTTAAGACCAAAAGAAGGACAAAGCAACTGCAGTCACTTTCCATTAGCATAATTTTATCTTTAAAAATCAGTTAATCATCATTATTTAAAAATATCATCCAATCAAAACATAGAAAAATAAATAAAAAAATAATTGTAATAGAAGAAAAAATAGACTAATCAACAAACAAAGAGGCTCAAAAATTCTCTATGCTTCAACTTTTGTAGTTATATAGATAGATTTATAGATAGACAAGAAAAAAAGAGAGTATGAATAGTAAAATAACTTTTTTTCAAAATATTTTACTATTTTTGTGAAAAACTGAATTATATAAATTTATAAGAAAAAAGAAAATTACTACCTTCTTAATATTTTTTATTTTATTAATTCACTCAAAACCTCTAATTATACTCTAATGACCCTTTTTTGATTATAATATTTACCTTTTACAATTTTATACTTTCGCTTTTAATTGTTATTATTTTGAATATAGTGGATATTAGAATAAAAAATTAATATATATTCAATACCATATACGCAATATTTTTATTTACTTCAATAAGTTTTAATTAAAATTTTAACTTGAAACCTTACAACTCTAACATAATGTCATATACTCCTTTCAGTTCCAAATACTTATTATATTTGAATATTTCACGTCTTATAAGAAAATCATTTAATTTGTTTAAATTGTAATAAATTATTAAGTGAATTGGATATACTACTTAATTTGTATAAATTATAATAAATTATTAAGGAACTGAAATAATTACTATTACTTATATAAAAAGGGTAAAAATAAAAAATTAATTTATTATATGTGAGATCTACTAACGTGATAAGTATTTGAAAAAGGTTAATTAATGTATATGCAATATCATTATTTACTTGAGTAAGTTTTAATTAAAATTTTAACTTGAAACCTTACAGCCTAACATAATGTATGATATTTCATATAATTCCTTCGTTTTTAAATACCGGTTACATTTGAGTATTTCACGTTTATTAAAAAAATCATTCAATTTGTATCCACTATATTACACTTAATTTATGTAAGTTATAATAAATATTAAGGAACCGAAGCAATCGGTGTTACTTACATACAAAAAGTAAAAATAAAAAAAAATTTATTATTTGTGAGATCCACTGACCTAACAAATATTTGGAAATACATTTACTTTTCTAACGTGACAGGTAAGTATTTGAAAACGGTAAATTAATATTGGCATCGCCTCACGAGAATATATATACGTGTGTTAGAGAGGTGGTCTTCAGTAGCAAAACCATGGGAGAAATTGCACAGCTCCAAGGCCGGATAGTGAGCGCCACCGAGCACGGCTGGTGCCATGCCGTGCGCGGGGGCACTGGCATAGCAGTCCTGGCCATCCTTACTTCCAAGTCTCCGGAAATTCCACATTTCGAAAATGCCCTGAAAAAACTTCAAAATTCTCACCCCACCCTCAAGTGCAAGCTCCATTCACATACCAAATCTAGTAGAAGCACCTTCTCCTTGTTAACATCTCCTCCTAATTTCATTAAAGTCAAACATTTTGACCTTTCATCAACTTTTAAAATTCTAGAAAACATTTCAGGCTCAGAGAACCAAAATCTCTCTCCTTTACATGTACTTCTTGAACATGAACTTAACCTAAACCCATGGGTTAAAAACTCTGATAATGGCATTTATGATATGTTCTTTGCTACGACTTATGCCCTTCCCAACTCAAAGTGGGTGGTGGTTCTTAGGCTTCATGGGGTAGGATGTGACCGGACCACCGCCATTTCTTTGCTAAGAGAGTTGCAGGTGGTGCTGGTTCAGGAGGGGGAGGGTGGATCAGGCGGAGGCGGACGGGTAGAAATGCAAATAGAGAATAAAGGGAAGATTTGTTTAGGAATGGAGGATCTGATTCCTGATGGTAAAGTTAAGAAGACTATATGGACAAGAGGAGTTGACATGCTTGGTTACTCAGTTAATTCACTTGGATTAACAAACTTAAAATTTAAAGATGCAAAATCACCAAGATCTTCTCAGGTAGTGAGGTTGCAGCTGAACCAAGATGATACTCAGAAGATTATTGCTGTGAGTTGAATCATTTAATTCTCTCTTTTTTATATATAATTTTTCTTTATTTTTTACTTTTTACATCTGAAAGTTTTGGTTCCATACCAGACTTTTATGTATCCAAACAACTTAGAAAATTAAATAAATTATAGCCGAATATATAATTTAATCCATTAACTTTTACAAAAAACCTTTCTATCATCTTTGCATCAGTAACAAAAAATTTTAAGATTTTTGAATTTTATATATAAAATATTGATTTTAATTTGAAATATGTAAAATATTGATTTAATACGTAGTTAACATAACTTTTAAAATAATAATTCTCATTTTCACCTATTTACCTATCAAATAAGTGTTTAATTGATCTAATTTAACAAATTGAAAAATTCAATGATCAATTAAAATGTGTAATAAATGTAATTTTACAAGTTAAAATATTCAATCGATTAAAACAAAATTTGAAAATGCTATGAAATTTTCGTAAAAAGTGAATTTATATATTGAACGGATTATCTGCGCATAAACTTTGCAGGGTTGCAAGTCGAAAGGGATTAGACTATGTGGGGCACTGGGAGCAGCCGGACTCATAGCTGCACAGAGGTCTAGAAGCCGTATAGATAAACACAGGAAATATGGAATTGTTACTTTGATCGACTGCAGATCTCTTCTTCAACCACCTCTTTCCCCTCACCAATACGGTAAGCCCAGGCTAAGAAGTACCGTTATATTCTACATTTAGTTTATATTTTTCTGTTTAAATAATAGTCTGATTTAGATGAAAAAGTAGTATTATCTTTATCCCACTATAAATGTTGTTTAAGGTAATTACACAACAATTCAGAAAAGCATTAAATAAATTTAATTATAGAAAAAATAATTCTAATTAACTATATCACCCTTTGTTCAATTTTCTATTAAATGGAGATACCAAAAAATAAAAGGTAAAAATGAAAATAAATAATTAATAGTTGCTTAATTTATTTTTGAAATATTTCTTTAATTTTTTTTAATTGGTAAATATAGAAGGATACAAATAAAATTTTAAATAACACTTCTAATAGTCAATATATTTTTTAAGTTCGTCTATTATAAGAACAACTTTCTCTGCAATTGGATTTAAAATTTCATTTATCCTAATAATATATTTTTTTCAATGTAAAATTATAAATTATATAAAATTTAATATCTAAAAAGTGATTATTCTGGAAGAACAAAAAACTAAAGAAAGTTATATCTCCTCGTTGTAAAAAAAAAAAAAAAAAAATTTGAGAACAAAAAACTAAAAGAAAAGATATATATCTCCTCGTTGTAAAAAAAAAAAAAAATAAAATTTCATATAACCTTATTGTTATAACATCACATCCCTTAATCTTTTAACTTTAATAACTAGATTAAATTTATGTTTTTTTTTCTTTCTTTTTTTTTTTTTTTTTGAAACGAGACGGTTTAAATTTTTTTTTTTTTTTTTTTTTTTGAAACGAGACGGTTAAAATTATGTTTAATTATCTTAAATTGAATTTAAAATTGTCTGATCCATCATAATATTGGGCCCACATGGAACTGAAGGGCCGGTCCAGTAAATTAACCCAGTTAGGCAAGGTCAGTAGACTCAGTACAAGACCTACATAAGTCTGGTTGGTACATTAACTCTAAAATTTATTAATTCCACATGGGAAGAGAGAGGTTATTTGCCGCAATAAATAACTAAATAAATAGGTAAGATTATTTCAAAAAATAGAAAATTATATCTAAAAATATCTAATAACTTGCTACCTGTAAAACTGGTAATTCCTTATTTATATATTATTTAATTATATTTATTATTATAATAATTTTTTTTTTTTGCTAATCTAAAAGACATAAATGCGAGAAATTTACCAAAAAAAAAAAAACGTCAAATATTCTTTCCATACATAATTAAAATATTAAATTTAAAAAATTATTGAGCTAATATTTACCTTCTAAAATGAAATAAAAAAATATATTTGCATTATAAGATCATGATGTAAATAATATTGTAAGTTTATTGTGTTGCTGATTATAATACATTCTTATTTAATTTTTATATACTCCTACATTATTAGCTGTAATATACCCATAACTCAACTTTTTTTACTAAAATTATTTTATAATTTATGTAATTGTAATTATTTAAATTGAATTTTATTTGTGATCTATGGACCCAATTTAAAACTTAAATTTTTGAATTTATTTATTGTGAGTTTCACTCTATATCAAAACAAGTTTATAATCTATTAGATTTTAAAACAAAAATAACATTAATCGAACACATCAATGATAATTAAATTATCCTAATACAAATGATTGATAATCAAATTTATAGTTTTCACCTTAATTTTTATTTTCAAAATTTAATATTTGTGTTTTTTAAAATTTTTTTGTAAATCCATAAAAGGCATACTCAATTGCTTAAAAATATAACTTCAAAACTTAGTTTCATATCACAATTATATACTATAAATTTTTTTTAATATGTATTAAGATCATTTATAGATTTTTATAAAAAAAAATTATCTCAAAATGTTATTTATTGTGTTTAAAAATAATTTCAAATACCCTATTATTTACATTAAAATCATGTTTTAATCATCCACTCTCACTTTTAATCAATAGAAATATCTCATATTAATTTAGTATCATGCAAAAAAAAAAAAAAAAATCTTAGAAAAGCTCATTGCATTTTAGGATGGAAAAAGATTTTCAAAAAACCCAAAAAAAAAAAAAAAGAAAATTAAAAAAAGAAAAAAAAAATTTTTATGACCTGTATAACAAGTTAGCATGTCCAAATGGCAAATGGAGTTTCTCTATCATATGGTAAAAGCCTAAATAAATATTTTATGTTCTATGAACTAGTACTACATTCTAAATGTGATAGAATTTAGAAGGTAAATCATTATTTTTTGCATATTATTCAACAATGCATATTTTTTGGTTGAGGTGCCTCAATTTCCAGGTGAAAATAAAAATTTGATATTCAAAAAGTATACCTGTTAGAAGGATACGAAACTTTTACATTCTATAGCTTACACCTCTAAGTCAATATTTATTGGTTTGAAAATGATTTTTTTTTTTTTTTGAAAAAGTATATAAATAATAACATCAAACATCTTAAAGTGTATATATATTACTCTACCTTGGAAATTAATCATTTATTCATTTGGTCAAAATTACACTTCAATTTTTGTAATTGAATAAAGCTTGTTGGAGGTAGAAGTATTAAGCAGCCAGAAAAAATGATTAATATACAAGGAATATATTGTTTTTTCATTTTAATCATACAAGTATAATAGTAATTGAACAACTGGAAAGACTTACCTATATCGGATAATCAACTGTATTGATCGATTGTATGATAAAATGGATAATTGGATATGGACCCAACGTAAGTAAGAATTTTCCTAATAAAATTATTATTTTGCTTTATATGCAGGGTTTTACCACTCAACCATATTGAACACACATGTGGTAAAAGGAAAGGAGAAACTATGGGAACTAGCTGAAAAAGTGTACACGGAATTCACAAACTACAAAAATGACAACAGGCACTTCACAGACATGGCAGATCTTAGCTTCTTAATGTGTAAGGCAATTGATAACCCTAGCTTGACACCTTCATCTTCTTTAAGAACATCAATATTGTCAATTTTTGAGGACACAGTTATACACAATTCTGATGACAAGGGAAAAGATGTTGTTGGTCTAGAAGACTATATGGGTTGTGCCTCTGTTCATGGCATTGGACCATCCATTGGAATATTTGATACCATTAGAGATGGAAGGTTGGATTGTTTATGTGTCTACCCGTCACCATTGCATTCAAGGGATCAAATGGAAGAGTTTGTTGAAAAAATGAAGAGTGTTCTTGTGGATGGTGCCAACCATATATAACTGGAAAAATATTCACTTGCATGACAGATTCTACTTCATTCAAAATAAGTATTTTTATATTAGAACTTTAAAAAGGTATGTGCGTGTGAGCTAATAGGCAAGGGAGCAAATAATCTCAATTCAGCTTATAGTCTGGTTAGACAGATTCAAGATCTGAAGGCTGGCTTCTTATGCTTCTACGTTGGGATTGGACTTTCCTGCTTATCATCATCCTCCTCTTTGACTGCATCAATGATAATTCATAATATTGCTGGTGTGGCTTATCATCGATGGTGTAATAGCTAGTTTTCTTTTTTCTCACTTTTTCTACCAAAAAAAAAATAAAAATTTCATGAATTGGAATTGGATAGTGCATGCGTCTGGTTTACACAGGGAAGGAAACTATTGTGGAGATTGTGTGGCGGATCTTGGAGGAACTCGGCCCTTTGCAACAATATTGTGTTTGAAGAGCCCCCTCAGGAATTCATAGCTTACTTCTTCATGATATTAGTAAAGTTTCCCACCCTAGATATGTCTGTTATAATTATAATTTTTCTTCCTTTTGACAAAAGAAAAAAAAAAAAAGAAAAGAAAAGAAACAAAAAGAAATTAGAACTTTTGGGATGTCTTTTCTGTTTTTTTTTTTTTTTTTTCCTTCTAGAAACAAAAGAAATTAGAACTTGTTGGGATGTCTTTTCTGTTTTTTTTTTTTTTTTTTTTTTTTTTTTTTTTTTTTCCTTCTCCACACTTTGTTTGGATATATATATATATATACACGCACACGAGAAAAACAAAAGGAAGAAAAAAGATAACAAGAAACAAAAATAGAGGGAATTAGTATTTTCCTCTATTAAGGAAAAAAGAAAGAACAAGGTAGGAAATAAAACAAAATTTATTTTCTTTTTAATTCTATTGTCTCTAATTTGGAGAAAAACAACGGAGGAAGTTATGATAAAGGAAATAAATTTATCCAAAATAATAAAAGAAAACAAAAATATACTTACAAAATTTTTTATTCTTATTTCTTCTTTCTATTTTCTTTCTTTTGGGCCACTCATTGACCTAACAATAATCAATAAACTTTTATGTCAGTAAACTTTTGTTGAAATAAGAGTATTTTTGACTGTATACTAAAAAAAGAAAGATAAAGAATGAGTTATTTTTAAAATATATATTTTTATTAGTTTAGTGTGTATATACATTTAGTTATTTGTTTAAGTAAAAAGGAAATGAGAAAATGGGAGAATGAAATATAAAGCACAACTTATTGTATAAATTTTTTCCGAAGAAATTGGTATTGATTTTGAGAATGTATATTCTCATATGGTGGATGAAATTATATATATTTAATTAAGTCTAACAATTCAAGAAAATCGTGAAATACATCTAATAATCAATATATATAGCTCATTTAAGAAATATATCTATGTTATCACTTTAATGATATGATTGAACAAAATATCATATGCTTTGATCATATTCTATTTACCATAATCTCTTTATGTTCTTGTTTAATTTGCATTATACATGTTTTTATTGGGATATTGTTATGTTTGGTGCTTGAATTTGTAAATTTTTTCTATTTTAGTGTCTAAACAAAAAATGCTGTCAATTGAGTGTATGAATTTTTTTTTTTTTTTTAAATTTGGTGTCTCTTGATGAAGTAGATGATCAGAAAAATACATTAGGACTATGTGAGGTCCAATTTTCCCTAGTTGAAAGCTTACTTGGCCTATTATTTATTCAACGCCGTCATATCGACATGGCAAGTACTTCGAAATTACCATTCTAACCTCGTTTAATTCAACATAAACCCTTATTGATTGCCAACAATCATACTCTCTCTGTTCTCTTTATTTAGAGAAAACAAAAAATGCACAGGAATTAAGATGATAGTTAAACTGAATATTTTTTCTATTTTTTATCTAATATATCCCTAATTTGCATTAATTGCTTTTTTAATTTTGATGGAGCCAACTCATAAAGAGAGAGTCCCAAGGGTTCATTTATTCGATAATTAATGGTTGAAATGGAGGGAATATTTAACGAAATGCTGTAATTATTTTGAGAATTCAAAATTTCCAAATTTGATTTTTTATAATTTGAAATTTTGATTTTTCCACATCTATATTAAGTATTAAGCGTTTTTAATTAAATGCGCCCAAATTTAGCGAAAATTTGGAGCCTAAATTTTTGGTTAAATCAATAGTCTCCTCAACTTCTACAATATGGATACATATAAATTTCAATCTCCTCACTTCTACAATATGGATACATATATAATTTCAATCAGACCTTAGAACATGTAATTGCATTTTATAGTCTACAATATGGATACATATAAATTTCAATCAGACTTAGAACATGTAATTGCATTTTATAGAGTTTCTGAAAATAAAGACAATAATTTTTCATACCTTATGAATCCATCATTTTTATTTAATCTCAATGACATTCCAACAGATTTGGGCACCCTTTCTGAAGATATGTCCATTAATTTCAATTGCCAGACTTCAACTGCTTACCTGAAGACTAAGAAGGTGTTGTGGTTGTTGCTGAAAGTAGTCAATCCCAAAATGTTATTCCAGGTAACAGGAAAAAGGAAACAAGAAGAAAACATTGCTGATGACATTAAAAATCCTATAACCACCATGCTTTTAGCTGAGATGCAACAAGGTTAACATAAATAAGCGTAGTTATGAAAAAGTTACAGCCATATTCAACATTTATGTGAAGACAGTTTATAAAATTTTGCGAAATGCAAAGCCTCATCTAGAGAATAACTCCAGTGCCATGAAACGTCCATGGAATAGGGGTATAAAAAGAGTTCAATTCTCAAATGAAAGAATAAAAGAAAATTCCTCTTAGACATCGCATGACAATTTGTTCTTTAGTGCACAAATTGTGCGCTTCTCTATCATGTGTGCACAAGAGGATTAAAGGTGGGGAAATCATACCTCATTCTAATGCTATAAAACCATTGTTCAAAGATGAAAACAAAAGCTCAAGAATTCATTTCTGCCACTCCATGATCAATCCAAGTTCATTATGTAATATTAAACCCTCTTTTGTAGACATGTATGATATAATACACATTGATGAAAAATGGTTCTATAGGTGTAAAGAAATACAAAAATTATATTTAGCAACAAATGAGGAGGAACCATTGAGAAAGTGCAAAAGCAAGAGGTAGATACTCAAAATTATGTTCCTAGCTGTTGTTGGACACCCTAGGTTTGATGACAATTCAAATGTGGGGTTTGATGGTAATGTTGGTATATGACCTTTTATTTTCATTGAACCAGCAAAAAGGAGTAGCAAGAATCATTTAGCTGGTACGATGATAACTAAACCTATCATGTCAATAACAAAAGAAATAATTCGTGATGTAGTAATTAAAAAGTTTTGCCTGCAATAAAAGAAAAATAACCATAAACTTGTCATCCAACTACTATTTTCATTCAACAAGACAACGCTGAGCCTCATATAAATGTTGGCGATACCCAATTTAAAGAGGCTGCAAGTGAACTTGGACTGGATAACAGTTTACTATGTCAGCCACCAAAATAGTCTCGATTTGAATGTCCTTGGTCTTGGTTTTTGTAGAGCTATTGTCTTAATTAAATATAAGGAGGCTCCAACCACTATTGATTAGCTTATTGATGCAGTTTTGAAGGCATATGAAGTTTTTCTAGCTTCATTAATGAATAAAGTTTTTTTGACTTTACAAACTTGAATGATTGAAATCATGAAAGTATCTGGTGGGAACCATTAAAAAATAAAGCACATGTCAAATTATAGTTGACAAGGAATGGCAATTTGCCAACATCAATTTAAGTCGATCGAGAAATTATAAAGGAAGTAGCTTTTGCTGCTAACCATCTAGTTGCAAGCATATTCGCAGATTGAACCCTTTTTCAATTTGTAATTGAGTAGGGTCTTTAATATGTGTACTTTTATTTTCAGTATATTTGCACAACTATGTGTTCTTTATGAAAGTTTAAGCTTTTTTCATTACTAGTCTTAATTTTCTCAGTAACTTGAAATGTGCAATATTTATAAAAAGTACTTGCAATATCATGTTTGTATGCTTTGCATTTGAAATAATTAAGCTCATTTCAAATAACTAAAGAATTGCAATATGAATGTTGACATACTTTAAGCAAAAATTGAAGATATTGAAAATATAGATCAGTTTGAGCACAAAATATTGAATATTGACATCCAATGCATAAATAACAGAAAAAAGCAAACTTTTTATACAACTTGCATTCACAATATTGAAAATTAAGATCTAGGGACAAACTTGTCCAATATATAAATAGAAATTCAAACTTAAGGAACATACAAACATGTAAAAAAAAACTAAAAAAAAAAAACATAAACTTAAAGAAAATAGAATTATGGATGTCCATCAAAAGTCTTTGCTTGCCTCCCATATTTTTCTGCTATTTTGTGTGCTACCGCCATGATTGAATTCCTCACTACATTGATCTCAGCATCTATGGAATCTTCAAATAGGTTATCAGGCAATGGATCATTAGTGTCTAGTTGGGTCTCATCCATATCAATATCATCTATTTTATTGGCATCACCTGATAAACCCATATCTTGAATGGGTCCAGGTGTTCCTAAACTTCTGCTCATCCGTTGCAGTTTTTGAATTTGTATTTAAAAATCTGTTGTATCTCCTCTATTATAGGGATTTATTCCTACTCTCACGCATGACAGTAATGATGTAAAAAAAAAAATTCCCTTGAATACCGTGGCTCTTTCGTGGTATCAGAGCTTTCTGAATATTTTTTTTTCGCAATCTTCTCCTTCTGCTAATGGCTTCTTCTTCTGCCATACCTTCTTCAATTCCTTCTATTCAGAATCATGTGACTATAAAATTAACCTCTACCAATTATCTTTTGTGGAAAACCCAAATCACTCCTCTTCTCCATGGCCAACATGTGACTATAAAATTAACCTCTACCAATTATCTTTTGTGGAAAACCCAAATCACTCCTCTTCTCCATGGCCAATAGCTTTTTCATCATGTGGATGGTTCTGTCTCTCCTCCACCAAAGCTAATTAACAATGCTTCTAATCTAGCTTATTCCGAATGGTTTCTCAAGGATCAAACAGTTCTTGGTTGGATCCTAAGCTCTTTGTCCGAATCTGTTCTTTCTCAAGTTGTTGGTGTTGCCACGGCTCATGAAGTCTGGACTTGATTGAAAGCGCAATATGCCTCTGGTTCGAAAGCTCAAATTAGAACTCTTAAGATTGCTCTTCATGCTCTCTCGAAGGGGTCTGATTCTATTCCTGTTTATATGAGTCGTGCTAAATAGATTTATGATTAGTTGTTGGCTCTAGACGCTGCAATTTCTGAAGATGATCTTATTGATCATATTCTTCGAGGACTTGGTAAGGACTATCGTCCTTTTACTCGTAACATTGAAGCACGTCTCTCCTCAGTGTCTTATGATGATTTGTTGGGTTTGCTGCTCTCTGAAGAGTTGCAGCTTCAAAGTGCTGAAACTGTCACTCCTGCGATTGCTCATTACACGAATGTTCCTATGAATCGTGGTAGTTCCTCACGAGGTCATGGACGTGGCGCTCGACGAGGTGGTTA